ATGCAATCCCCGGCAGGAATGCAAGGCCTACTCTCTGATCATCAGTCACGACCCAATCTCCCGGCAGAGAAAGGAGAGGCAACTCAAAACAACACGAACACCTTATTTCGGAGACTCAATTGAAGCTAAATTCAGCTCTTTCCACGATCCCTGACTTACCCTGCTCTGCAGGGTGATAAAAGAAAGAGAAAAGAACTCATGACTCACTGCTCAGAGTGGGTTCCACCGGCTGACCATGGCTTGCGCTTCTTCGGAAAGAGTCAATGTAGGAAGCCTTGCAAGCCCGTCCTAGGGCAGCATCGTAGGATAGAGCATCCTGAAAGAGAGCCGTAGCTCCGCCTCGTCGGAGGCTGTAAGGACGGAAGCCCATATGGTGAACCTTGAATGAACGACAGTATTGCTTGAACCTCAAACGAAAGGCCGATTTTGAACCTCGCCAGATAGGAACCTGAAGCAGGCGCTGCTCCCGCAAGTAACCCACCAAAGTGTCAAGAACCATTAGAGCCCACTCATTCTTGAGGGTTATGACTTCTGAGATCCCTTTGGCCGCGGAGGTTTTAGTCTCGGCAAGACGAACCAGTCCAATGTCTTTACGGATCAAGACGTCGGCTCCACACAAGTCCAAGAGCTCACCATGCAGTACGAAGGAGGCCATCAAAGGCAGTCAAGATCAATGCAAAAGCGTAAGCGATGTCACGGGGTAATGGTGGTGCACGGCATGGGACTTCTAGTCGCCGCCAAATGCGGAAAAGTTTCCAGGTCTGCAACAACTTGCCTTGGCACCAGGGCATAAAGAACTGCAAACCGCAAAGACCTGCTGGAGCATGGTACGGCGGTCGACCGGTCTCCCACATTTCTTCCATATGGTCAGCCAGAAGTTCATCAAGTTCCATTTCGTCTGAAGCTTTGCGCACGATTGGTAGCAGTTTACGGGCATATTTGTAGTATTGTTTCAAGGTCTTTGGTTGAACCAGTGAATCTCGTAGGATGATGCCACGGTGCTCTTGGGCCCGCTCGGCCGCAGTCCGGCGTCCCAGTACCCATTTACGCCCGGGAGGCATGATCTGTTGGATTTTCAGTGGATTCAATGTGACCTATGATCAAGTACAAATTAAAGCCACAAGAAGCGCATTCAATTGTTGCAGGAGGTACTGAAGTTTTTGGGACCCTGACCGTCCCTTACCAATGACGCTCATGCATACATATGAATCGGTTACGTGAAAAACTCGAGCATTCAAAGCGGAGCGACGACGAATATGGTGTACCATGGACAAAAGGATAGCCCAATGGGTTGATATGGTCCCTATGCTTCCACCGAACACTAAACACAGGGCACCAAGACCAGGAGGCCTCCACTCCCTGGCGCGGGAACGCCTTAGGATTGAGTACATCTCCCGTTGCGATCCTCACATCAGAGCCCGTGTGATTTGTCTTCGTCAACAGGATGCGATTCAAGTCCGCGGGGGTGAAAGTCCTAGTTAGAGCTTGAGTGCAGAACCCATACTGTAGGAATCTCCCTAAAGGTGCTTGGCTTCGCAGGTGAGCACGGTAGCCCGGCGCCATTCCCATTCGCTGGGCGATCCAGCTGTAAGGCATTCGGGTAAAGGGCGGCTCCCGGAATGCAAAAGGAGTATACAGAAAAACTATCTCCGAGGAGAGACCGGCGAACGTCTTCAACGGCCAGGGACTGATCGCCTCTCCAAAATAAAAAACTCTGGCGAGTATTGATATGGAGGGAACCTGAATGAGTCCGAGGTCCAGCAGGAAATGGTGGCTTCCGAGCAACGTCGAATGCCCGCAGGCTGTGGGGGAGGCCTTTCCCGGACAATGGCCTTCATACAGGTAGCATCCCAGTTCCACCCACTGTCCCGTTTCGTGGTAATCTGCCCTTGCATACACACGTGTCCAGTAACTGTGATGAGTTACCTCTAGATCAGTGAAGGCGTCCTCCAACGGGCTCCGAACACCATGCGAAGCGGGGTCGCCGTATGGGCACGGCATCCATGCTATCCAATTCATACGGGGTAAGACCAAAAAGGTTTGAGATGTCGATCGCCGCCGCCCTATCCATCGACGAAACGTTTTCAATGACCTTTTTATACAAAACACAAGTTCCAAATTCGTTCTTCACCAGTTCTTCAATGCGGGGGAGGCCAAAAACTAGCGATGAAGCGGGACCTTGACTTGTCTGTTCGCACGTACCCTAGATAAGTCCACACATGGGAAGCCGGCCCAAATTTGTGGATCTCCTCAGCCATCGGGAACTCTAGGTGCCATTGTTTGATCATCGCTGCATCAACCAGCCGTACATCCGGCACGGTCTTGGCTTGCGGCCATCTCCGCTCCACTATCCGGTTGGCCGGCTTTTGGAGTTCCACTGCGATCATCCCAAGCGGTCGAATGTTCAAAACATCGTATACCCTAAAGCAGCCACCAATGCCATTAAATAGGGATATAACTATATATAACTAAGATTGGAACAACGCCTACATCTCCGCTTCGTACTTGTGAGCTCACAACAAAGTCCTTTCCCTCCAGGCTCAACTCCGGTCCAATTCCAACCGCACCCCCCCAGCAGGGAGGCGTCGGACGCGGCGGTGCAGTCGCCGACCATGGCACCCAGAAAGGTGTGCAAAGGGTGGTGATCAAGATCAATTTCCAAAGCTCTTGTCTAGTCCCCGAAAATTACGGTTGGTGTTGGGCGTGACAGGGAAATGAACTTCCATACCTGAAGACCATCTTCCTATCACAACCTGTACGGCCTTCTTGTTGAGGTGCCTGCTGTGTAGGAGAAACAGTGTCACATGAACGAGTCAAATGAAGCGTTCCGCCGAGACCGAGATAGTGTGGGATTCCCCGTCGATCCAAGCCCCCAACTCCTGTGCTGCTGTCAAAGCTCCTGACACCCGCTTCTTCTCGGATGAGACAAGTCCGGATCGGCTCCAGACGTCCTCAACAAGACCATGCCCCTTTGACCTGCACAAAAATTGTCTAAGTATACGTGCCACCAGGGCCTATCCCTGGATTGCCCTTCATGGACACACGATGCAAAAATAAAGGAAGTGCGCACCCTCGTGAAATCTGGGAGTCTGGTTCTGCACCTCCTAGATATGCAACCCGTTCGGCTACTTCCTGCATCAATGCCACTGAGCTTACCCATCCCATTGGGATGACGCGGCAAGCCATCACATAAGTTCTATTGTTGTTGAACCCCAACTTGGACCCCTGCATCTTGACGTTGAAAGCCAAAAACTTAGTCCATTGTGGTGGCAAACGGAACAGGTAGAACGCTGATGAAAGATCGCTCTGAAACAACCTAATGTGGTCGTCTGTTTCCGTAGTGATCCCCAACCAGGATGTGATCGAAGGGAGGTGTCGTACACAGCCAGCAATGGACTCCATCACTGAGTTGATTGGAACCAGGTTCATGATTAAACGCAGAATACTGCGGCCATCATCCAATTTGGTCGGCTTCTCAACCCCAAATAGGCCCGACAAGACCGGCTGTTCGCGGAAATGAAAAACGGACTCGATTGGCACCCACTCACAGATTTGCCTACCTACAAGTTCCTCACAAAGTGGTAGGAGTTCTTCTGTGGAACAATGGGCCTTATAGCTTGAAGAGGGGGCAAC